AGGCCGAGGAGCCGAAAGGCCGAGGAGCCGAAAGGCCGAGGAGCCGAAAGGCCGAGGAGCCGAAAGGCCGAGGAGCCGAAAGGCCGAGAAAAGAGAAGACGGGAAATGCAAACAAAAGCCGGGAAAAGAAAAACGAAACCGAGAAAAGAGAAGCCGGGAAAAGAGAAACCGGGAAAAGGAAAACCGGGAATGGGAAAAGAGAAACCGGGAAAAGGGAAATCGCGACAAGAGAAACCGGCGAAAGGGCAACCGGGAAAAGAGAAACCGGGGCGAGAGAAACCGAACCGACGAAAGAGAAACCGAGAAAAAAGAAATCGGAGAAAGAGAAACCGCGACAAGAGAAACCAAGAAAGAGAAGCCGAGAAAGCGAAACCGAAAAAAGGGAAGCCGAGGAAAGGATAACCGAGAAAGAGAAACCGAGAAAAAGGAAATCGGAGAAAGAGAGGCTTCTCGGCCTTTCGGCCCCTTCTCGGCCTTTCGCCCCCTTCTCGGCCTTTCGGCCCTTTCTCGGCCTTTCGGCCCCTTCTCGGCCTTTCGGCCCCTTCTCGGCCTTTCGGCCCCTTCTCTGCCTTTCGGCCCCTTGGCCTGTCGGTCGTTATTCAGCCTTTCGGCCTCTCGGCTTCTCGGGCTACTGCTTTCCTGATTCTCGTTGATCGACACACTGTGGCGACATAACCTGCCAACTTGTAATCAATAGCAGTGCTGTTTCAAACAGAACTGCTCCACGGTGACCCGTCATCCGCCACCGCCAGTGATGGATCACAGAAAGATTGTCGGGGCGTGGTTGTTGGGAGGCAAAATCAAAAAAAACAAATTGTTGGAGTACTTCAGTGCCATACAAGAGAGTTCCATCAACATCGCGCGTTTTCTTCATGGGATATTCGTAGTCCTGCGGGTATTCATCTGCCGGATAGTATCGCTTCGCATACGGAACCACTTTATCCCACGCAAAAGCACTATCGTGTCACGCTCACGAAGCTACGAAAGCATTACAAACATAGTAATTTCTGCCAGCGCTTTTCGCTGCAGTAGAATGTTCGTTGGTAGTGTTTGATTTATCACGGAGCTTCTTGATCATCATCAGCATCCATTCCAACGCTAAGCAGCTTCATAGTAGTTTCGCGCATCTTTTAGTTGTCACCCGAAAGGAGCGAAACCCACACTGAGTCATGTCACTCCATACAACGGGCTAGCTTTCGCGAATAGACAACTTTTGCATTGCATAGCCGAGGTAGTGCTTGCATCGAGCGATCCACTTTTCTCGGAGCGCATCCTTTTCCGCTTGGCTTCGCTTCTTCGTCGCCTGGTTAAATGAATTAAGGAAACACATTGGTGGTTTCGTATTTATTAGTTGTCACGGTGATCGCACGGGTATACCACACCTCGAGCGCAAGCAGTGAAAAAATCATCAATCACGATGCTATCGTGTCGCTCTGGAGCTAATAAAAACGACAAAAAAATGCGACTGTGCGTGCGCTTGTGCAAGTTGCAAAAATTCACTTTTTTCCACCATAGCGTCGTATTTCGCGTGAATGACGACGCTATGCTGGACGCGTAGTAATTGATATTTCTTTAAAAAACTAATATATTTCTTGAACGACGCAAACTACTGAAACGCCTTTTTTTTTCTTTGCCGCGGCTTCTTGCAATTTCGCTTCTCGAAATTTTCGAAAATTGTCCTGGAGTGATCCTGCATTTGAAAAAAAATCATCCTGCACTTGTACATCAGGCGACGCAACAGGAGCCGGCATCTTGATTGTGCGCGCCTTACAGTCAACGTACAAAACCAATGCAACCACTGCCGTGTCTCTTCCTATTTTTTTGATACAGAGCCTTACTATCCGACGAGGTTCGAAGATCTTTAGATACTTGTTTTGCCCTTCCCTTTGCCTCCGCGTCCGTCCTCCAGAGGTTTCCTCTGAATTAGTATTTGCTACCACTACTACAAGAACCAGGCTGCAGGAGGACGTTTTAGTTTCATTTTGTATCCCTTTCGTTTTGTATTTGATTTCTCATCCCAAGATCATCTTCTGTGGCCACTTTGACAAATAAATTTAAACTACTTACTGTCACTCACGCTCCTTGCACCACCTCATTCTTTCAGTAAAGAAACCACAGAACACACAACAGAGTCGATGCGGAAGCAACCACCTTGTGCGTAAAAAAATTTGACAATGACATTGACAGTTCCTTGCTAAATCTATTGACTCCACCAGCATGGTCAATCATACATTGCACGCGCAAAAAGGTCCACGACGCAGGCCGACAGAAAATCTGTCCACTGCTGGACGTGAGCAGGGGTTTTTATTGTTGCGTACTCAAATCTTCCATGTGGTGCCGATAGATCTGAGTCTGACTCGGCAGCGTTCTGGTTCTTCAACGCCTGCTCTTGCACCTCCACATCATGGTGCTCGCGCTGGTCGAGGAAGCTGACACAGCACAAGTGCTAGTGCACACAACGAACTCGCAGCCAGTTGTAACAGTATGACTTTTAACCCGGCGAAGCAACAGTTTTCCCTACTAGATGTAGCAGGGCTCCACGTACTTGTGGCAACGCTGGTTGCAAAGTGGACACCTGGGAGCGCGCAGCTGGAAGAAACAGTCCTTGCAGAGCGAAATGTGGTTGCAGGGGAGCAGCAACACGCTTTTTTTCTGGTCCAGACACGCGCAGCAAAGCGTTTCCAGGGGCGGTCCGGACTCGGGATGGTAGTTCTGCATGCGCTATCAAATGTAAAAATGTCTGGGTCTGGAAGATTGCGAGATTTGTCATGCATATTTCGGATCACGCAAATGGCGTCTGATGTAGGCAAAAGCATCACAGGTTTTGCGCACGCCTCATGATGCGTGTCCCGCATGAGAAACTTCCTACTTGCGTGCCAAGAAATGGACAGCTTTTGGCGCTCATGCAACACAAGTTTTTGTGTGTTTCAGAGTTTGCATCACAAGTTCCAACCCTCCCAGACCCAGACATTTTTACATTTGATATGCGCTCCACAAGGTGTTGCAGGTTCCGTACCTGGATGGCGCGCCCGGTATGGATGTGTCAGGTTTGAAATCGTCAGAGTTGAAATAGTTTGTCATGCATAAAATGGATGCCAGTTGGAGCCCAGTTTTCAAGTGGCGCATGACAAGTTTTGGCGGTGCCTAAATCCAGTTTGTAATGCTGTTTGGGTAAGAAAGACGCGTTTTGTCATGCTACTTTGGCAGCTCTATTTCTGCCCCTCAACAGGCTTGCAATCTGCCTCCCTTGCCGACTCTGCAAGACAGGCACTTTGTGGGTTGCATTTTATGCATCGCAAATTATTTCAACTTTGACGATTTCAATCCTGACGCTTCCATACCCGGACTCCGGCGCGTACTCGATCCAGACGTAGGTGAGCAGAAAGGTAACAAGCACCACCAACAAGGCGCGCCCCAGCGTCCATCCGCTCCAGAGTACAGCCCGCAAATTTTCGGCGCTAGGTAAAAGCACGAACGAAGGACGAGAGGCTTTAGAAGCATTGGTCTGGAGCTGGTGCACCTGTTTCGATGAGGTCGTCCCTGCGCTCGCTCGGCTCGCTAGATGCGCTGCTGTTGCCGAGGAGGACGGAGACGGCGACCTCCATGACCACATCAATCCACCGTCAGTGAACACGTCGTCAATGTCGCCTTCCGTTTGCCCCCGCGCAAACACTTCCTCTTCTACGTATAATGCGGAGGGGAAAAACGTCGTGTGACAATACCCCCGGAGTTTGGTGTCGTGCAGGTGGCGGAAGGTGTCCTGGAGGTAAGACATGCCGCGTGAGGAGATGTAAAAAGGAAAGTACAGAACAAAGTAGAAAGTGACCAGAATGAGCACCAGGCGTGCAACCAGTTCTGCGGGGGTTGTCTTTTTGGGTAGATGTGGAAGTTCTGGCTCTACTACTTCCACCGAAGTAGACCTGCTCGTTCCCCGATGAACTTCCGCCAGCTCGACGACCAGCTCGTCCACTGATGCAGGAGCAAGAACTTCTGCACAAACAAGGTCTTCTACTTCCGCAGTTCTTAATACTATCTGACCTTCGTCCCTTGTCGTTGTTTGGCGACCGGTCGGAGTTGGCAATATTACCTCGTAGTTCTCTGGTGTAGTCCTGGAACAAGTCAATGCTCGCTCGCGCAAAGCTGCGCTGGCTCGCGCGCCGTTCATTTCGTCTGCTCGCGACCTGGCGGCCGTTGTATCCGTTTCGGTAGTTTCCCGCCCCTGTAACTCGTGGTGGTGGATCGCTGCAGCGCGCAGCTCGTCGTTGGCCAAATCTTTTTCGTCTACTTCCCTTACAGTTATTTCATCTCGCTCTGCTTGTAGCCCTTCTGCCACAACAAGAACGTCGGTCGTGCCATTCGTTCTTGTCCCTCTATTCTCGACGACGTCGTCCCGATTCGCGGCTACGGGCTTGCCTAGCTCCCGAAGCCTCTGCGCAAAATTGTACACTCCGAGGGCGAGCAACGCAACCACTATCCATCGTAGCCAAAACTGCACCACGCCGCGCAGCGCGACGGATGAAGTGAACGACCTTGATGTCGCGGTCAAGGCAGCTCCTGCGCCCGTGGTGCCACCACCTCCACCAGCCAAAGGGCCGGAAAATAAGCCCACCAGAGGGAAACTTTGGTTCTGCAGCTCGAGGCACAGCAAAACAGCAACACAGACAGCACTCCATGTTCCGCTGACGACCAGTGACGGTTCGCGCAAATACCGAACGTACACCGGATACGCTTTTGTCAGGACACGCGGCGCGCCGTCTTTCCACAGGATGACGAGACTGGGAAAAACCAAATCCCTAAAAAACCCGCACAGGAGCAACAGGAGCATCTTTACCACGTCAGCCAGGAATTCCTTACTCCGTTCCGGCAAAAGCTGCGCGCACACACGATCCAACTGTCGCACGAATGCGTTATCGCAGAGTAGGTTCGAGAGGAGGCAAAACAGCCTCATCAGGTCAGGCGCATGCGACGGGTCTGCTCCTTGGTCCTCCTCGCGGCGGGGCGGGGGGCCGCTACGCTTATGATTGTCTGTTTTCTCTTTGTCGTCTGCATTATTGTCGGCACCACCATCATGTTTTTGTTTTTCAACATCTCGTTTTTGCGCGGGCAAATCTCTATCTTTAAGCGCGTCTACGACGCCGGTGCGGACAAAGGTACGTGACGATGAGGAGCTCGAGGAGGACGAAGACGACCCAGTGTCCTCGACCAGGATTTGGTCCGTAATGTTGTCTAACATGCCGTTGTAATGATGCCGGTATTCTTCTTGTTCACCTCGGCGTGCGGCCGTACCTCGTCTCCCGCTGGAGCTGGACTTGATTGTGTTCTGTGCAACTGTCTGGTGCTGGTTGCTCCTTGTATCGGTACTAAGGTAAGTTGTCGGCCGGTCAACAGCTTCGCCACCTTCATCCGGTGCTGCAGGCGCCTGAAAATCCTGGTGAGGACTCTCGTCCGGTGCCATGTCTGCCATCTTCGCACTTTTCCGTTCTCTCCTCGCGGGAGCACCAAGCAGCCCCTGCTGGGCGGCCTGCGTGGACGAAGAGGAATCGCGGACAGAGCTTGCGATTGCGGTCTGGCGCTGGCGAACACCGGCGAAGAAAGCAAAATCCGCTGTTGTATCTTCCTGCTCACTAGTCATGGCGACCCGCAATATTGATGATCTTCTAGTGTACGACCGACACCGACATGAGGATCGAACTTACTTGTCATCCAAAACCAGAATCATTTTTGCAGCACTGACTTCCACTTCTATCAATACAACACTTACGGTTACGCTTACGCCAGGGCTAGGCATTTGACTTTCAGCGAAAAATAAAAGGGTCGTAACAACTCCGATTTTTTCCAACTCGACGTCAGGAAAAAAAGATGATCTTCGAGTCGCTGCTAATATCCAACGTGAAAACCTGGCTTGTTCTTCTGGGGATCAACATTCATAGATTAATCAAGGGGACCTGTAATATGTGTTGATGAAAACGAGATTGATTCCTCACGACTCCTGCACCAGCTATCAATTCATATTAGGCGAGTGGCCGTGGTGCGTGTTTGCAGTTGGAATAAGTCGCAACCTCTACTTAAAGGCACGACCATAAAGTTGTTCGACACCACCTTCGATAGCTCGACATCACAAAGTAACGATAACGAGAAATCCATAGATATGGATTGATAGAAGACTGACCGCTGACAAACCCTAGCTTCTCCTCGAAATCAAAAAAAACTCTCACGCATGTTGCTACATACAAATCAATGAACTATACTCGACCGCTGGTCAAAACATAAACAAAAAAACGGATCGAGAACGACACTGGAATCTTGGAACGTGCGTCAGGTAGGGTGTACGATGAATGTCATACGAACGTCAGCAGAGGAAGCGAGAACGATAGATTTTGGAATGTTGCGAATGGGAATGCATCGCATTCCACAGTGGATATCCGCGGTTAAACGCAAAATTTTGTACGACGTGATCACTTTCAAGCTGGTCGTGGTTCTCCAGAGGGTGAAATATGTTGACCAACGCGCAGATCTGGGAACAGAGTGGTCTAGCATCTCACAAAAGTCAGGCGGAAAAAATCCATGGCCGCAAGACCGACTGGATGCTATACGTATGTATGATGCCGCGGAGTATAAGTGCTTCACTCGTCTTGCATGGTCATGTCACCAAAAAGCTATGTTCTTGTTCGTGAATCCTGTGCACATAATGTAGATTCTTTTGCGTGATCTGTTAGTACGCTCCTTGAGCTCCTTTTCGTGAGCGTTCTAGCGGACATGCACGCTTGTCTTAGCGGTGTGCAACCTACTTCAGTGTCGTTGTAATTGAAAACTAACTGTTTATGATTGGTTCAGAATACGAAAAAAAATGAAAATGTTGAAGCAGAAAATAAAAATCAAAAAAAATCCGTGGAAAAGTTAGTGGAAAAAACAAAAACAAAGGAGAAATAAAAAGATTGCAAAGTGTAAACTGAGGCAGAAAAGGTCGCAAAGCATTAGCTTAAGATTGCGGGGAGGGGATAAAAAGCATGCGCAACTCGTAGTGTCATCCGACTACATGAATGCCAGTCTCTGAATTCTGCTTTCCGTTCTTATTTGCCACGTGATACCTACTACACTTCAGGCACAATGATCGTAGAAAATTTCCACGTTGAAACTGAGCAGGTACTAAAACACTGTAAGAGTGGTGCAGCATGATGGGGATTGGGGAATCTTAAATTATAGATAATTACTGTTTTTGTCACGATTACACGACGGGGGCTGTAGCACTCTATCGTTATCTCGAGGCGCTTATCATCAGTCGAGCATGTGGTTTTGGAAGACGCCTCTCCTCGGTCCGCCTCCCGGCAAAACGATAACGTTTCCCCCGCGCGTCAATTCCAGGAGTTCTGCTACGCCCCGGCGCACGTCGCGCACGTCCTCGCGGATCCGGATAATGTCGTACTCAATGGTAGAATTATTCTGTCCGCGGCTGTCGAGCGAGTTGCGGCCCGCAAGCGCGAGCGTGTTGCCGCGATTTCTGCTAGCACTTGGCGACCTATTCGAGGGGTAAAGATCATGGTCGTCGAAGGGGTCGTTCATATCTCCTCCGGAATGTGCATGTTGATGTTGCGACGCGCCGTGAAGATGATGTTGTTGATTATGCATCCTGCTGGGCGCGGAGTTGCTGACCAGGCCAGGTATGATCTTCTTGTTCACAGTCATCATCAGTTCGGACAGCTGTTTTCTGGTTTCCTGCAGCTCCCTCTCGATGGTGCCCATATCTGCGGCGGCCGTGCCGCTGCCGCCGTACAGCGGGTTCGGTAAGGATGCGTCTAGCGCTCCCGCTGCGCCCCCTCCGCCAATGCCGCCAGACGAGGCTATTCGCTTCATTTCTTTTCTCGTGTTCTGCAGCTCCGCGCGCAGGGATTCCAGCAGTTCCGCGTTGCTGTTACCCTGCTGCTCGTGGAGCACCTGCCGCATCACCTGGGCCATCTGCTCTTCGTCGAGCGAGATGGTCATGTTGCTGCCACCCATCATGTTGCCCATCAGCGGGGTGCCGGGCGGGATCTGGCTGCCGCCCATCACGGGCACCAGCTGCAGGTCGCCGCTTTCGCTGGTGCCCTGTTTTCGCAACCCAGAGGTTCTTTGCCCCGACGGGGTCCCCACCGGCGCGCCGAGCGGCAGCGCCGCCGCGGCACTCGCGGCGCCCCCCTTCGCGGGCGGCGCGAAGGACTCCGCACCGAGGACGGGGCTGCCGGGCAGCATGGAGGAGGATCGCTTCAGCTTCTTCGCCTCCTCCTTCTCGATGTCCTCCTGGCTTTTCCAGAAAAAGTCGAAACTGACCTCCTCGTTCCACACCGGGTTCACGTCGTCGTGCATGGTCTTCGTGCGCTCGTTGATGTGCTCCAGCTTGATGTCGCCCGAGCTGGGCACCTTGGGCCAGACCGAGACGTTGGCGTGCGGACTGGCGATCATCTCGCCGAGAAACTCGTCCGATTCGTGCGCCGGGTACAAGTACCTCGCCCGGATGATCTTCACCGTCAAGTTCCCCGGGTGGAAGGTGTGCCCGCCGTGCTTGATGGCGGGGAGCCCGGTCTCCTGCTGGTTGAAGGGGGTCCACTTCAGTTCCACCTCGATGCTGCCCTGCGCGTTCAGCTGCTTCTCCATGCCCGATTTCACCACCTTCATGATGTTGTTCTGCAGGGGGGCCTCGATTTTCCCGTGAAAGTGATTGATGTCGAACTCCACGGGGGCGAGCTTCAACTTCTTGCTATCGCGGACGTTCGCCTGGGTCGACCGTCCGCTGGTATCGTAACTCTGCTCCGAACCGTCGCGGTTCCGGGCCCGCGCCCGCAGACTGCGCAGGCCCTCCTTCTCGGCCTTCTCGATGGCGTCCCAGTTCTTCCCGATCAAGTCAAACTCTAGCAAAACCTCGCCCAAGAACAGGAACTCCCCCAGCACATTTTCGTCATACACCTCGATCTGGATGCGCCGCAGCAGGGCTTCCGGCTCCTCAAACTGCATCACATTCTCGACCTGAAGATTCATTATCATTCCCATTCGTTCGAGGGAGGACGTTGTTTCAAAATCGTTCTGATTTTCGTTTTCTCTAAGTGCCGGCGGCGAGTTGAGTTCTAGTAAACGAAGTCAAAGGGGCCGGGGGTCGAAGATGACAGCGACCCGCCGAACCCGACCATTTTTACGCGACGAGTGAATGCATTACGCCTTCCAGGAGCACACCCGGACCCGGAGCCAGCGAAATAACAAAAAAATTTACTGAAAAGGCGACGGGGGGGATCTGTCTGCCTCACACTTTTTCAAAACTTTCAAAAAACTTTCCGCGATCTGTTTCCCGTCCTAAAATCATTCGCCCAATTTGGGGCGGGGAAAAGACCGCAACAGTCACACGGGCTGCGCGCTGCCAACACATGGCGCAAGAGGGTAGGAAGGTTGCCACGCTAACCGTCGCGCGCCCTGTGCTATGACAAGGCCCGCCTCCCGGGCGGCGCGGCGCAGGGTCCACCGGCCGCGGGGCCTCTCCTTTCCTCTCGGTCGTGGACCACATGAGAGGGGTCTCTCGGGTATTGCCAATCCTGCATCGCCCAGACAAAACAATCCCGGCCAAGGAACGAACATCCACAGCGGAGCCCGGCGCCGTGATGGCCCCCCCGGGTGCTGCCAAGTGTGCAAAAAAAGAAACCGCGCAACCTCGCTCGGGCAACCCTCTATGGGTCCTGCGACAGGTGCCGCACCTCGAAGGGTGGTAGACCCCGCCAAACCCCACACACCCGACGCAATGGCCCCCGAGAGCGCCAACAATTTCCCACAAAAAAAAGCCCCTGAACTTCGTGCACGCGAAGGTATGGCGCACGCACAGAAAAATGGGTACGCTCCAAGTTGGCCTCTCGCAACCTCGTGCACGCGACGGCACGGCCCTCCTGAGTGCCAGAAAAAAGACCCCGCCCAACTTCGTGCACGCGGTGCTATGACCCTTCTGGGTGAGGCAGGATTTTGCGAAAAAAAATCCCGCTTCAACTTCGTGCACGCGAAGGTATGGTCCACGGAACTGCCAAAAAGAGCGCGGCAGCTGGCCCATGGCCGAAATACTTTGAAAATACTTTGGAAAATACTTTGTGAATACTTTGCAAAACTGCCGGCCAACTGGCCGGCTGAGCGGCACCATACCTTCGCGTGCACGAAGTTAAGGGGCAGCCGAAAATGTCCGCTTTCAAAAGTATTTTGCGAAAGTATTTCGCCCCGGGAAAAGCTCGGGCCGGCCGGCGATCTGGCCCGAAGGCTGTGGTCGGGGGACCTCAGACGCCCGGTCACCAAAATGGCGCGCCCGGGATGCGTCATAGCGTCGTGTGCACGAGGAGAAAGGGGCAGAGGGCGCGCCCTCTCCAGCAAAGACCTGCGCCAAGGTCCTTGGCACCGAAGGCCTGGCCTTGAAGTCGCCCGGACGAGGCGCGCGCCTTTGCGCGCGCTCTTTGGCTGCGTCTGCCCTTTTGCAGCTAGGGCGCTGCTGCCAATCTCAGCGCTGTGGATTTTGCCTCTTTCCCTCGGGTTTTTGGAAATGGTTCCTGCTGCTCTACAGCAGGTTTTTTGGATACTCACCCGATTGGCGCAGACTAGTTTTTTTAGGCCATAGAGCCACGGCCGGAAAGTCGCTTGCTACGATCGGCCGCTGGATATGCAAAGTGCGAAAGCGAAAAATCTTTCCAAGTGGTGGAAACCGACGACGCAATTTCCCAGCTTGAGGGCGGAGATCATAGTGCGGATTTTGAAATGCAGAAACAGTTTCTAGCCTCAGAATCAGAGTGCGTTTTTTGCAATGCAAGTCCAGTTCTCCAGCTGAAATCCGAGGTGTGATTTTTGAAATATAGCTGCACTTTTCGGCCGAAATTCGAGGCGTGTATTTTAAAATAAAAGCACAGCGCCCCGGCTGCAAATCGAGGCGTGTGTTTTGAAATACAGCAGCATTTTGCGGGCGCGATTTCAATATGCGAATTTTCAAAAACGCAAAGTATTTTGAAGGTATTTTCGAAGTGTTAGACGAACAGAATAGCCCCCCCGTCTTGTCGGTAAAAAAAAATGATAAATTGAAATTCCCTTTTAGCATAATTTTAATTCACTCGAATGAGTACTAAAAAACAAATATAAGCAATGAATCTTGAAGCCCGTTGGTGCAGCTGGTGGACGTAAAATAAATCTTGGAAAAAAGGCACAAAGAATCCGGTAGTACCGTTTCTCGCTCGATCTGGTTTTGCTTGCTCTGCACCGCGAGGTCAGCGTGGTGCTCGGTCCAGACGTCTGTGAAGTTGTTCAGCAGCACGGAAGTTGGCATCGCCACGACGAGAAGCGCCGTGAGCATGGAGATGATGCCGGCCAGCTGGCCCACTAAGCTATAGGGTGCCATGTCTCCGTACCCCACGGTGGTGTAGGTGACGAAACTCCACCACATGCTGTGCGGGATGGACTTGAAGGGGGTGGCCTCCACGTCGTCTATGACCCAGTTTCTGCGTACCCACGTCTTCTTCACGGGGTCCCAGTGCCCCGACTCCGCGAAGTAGATTATCGAGGCGGACACCGTCACGAAGAGGAGCAACACGAACAGCAGCACGGCGAGCGCGAGGAAAGATCGGGTAAACACCTTCGCGATCACCGTTATTGTGTTCACATACTTAGCCACCTTCATGAACCGGAACAACCGGGTCAGCCGCACCACACGCAGCACCGTGGAACCCTGCACGCCACTGCTGCCCACGAAGAGCTCGAGATAGAACGGCACAATCGCCAGCACATCAACGAGATTCATTGGGGTTAGGATAAAGTCGCTTAACCTGTTTGTTTGTTGTTCCGTAGAGGATTTGGATATTCCGATAATTCATGCATGTTGGGCACTCGCATTGGGTTTGGGGGGGGCCTGTAGTTAAAGGTAGAGGCCTGTCGTCAACTGTAACTGAACATCAGCGATATTAGAAGAGGTTCAATTACAATTTTGGACCAGATAAATACAATTCAATACCTTCTCAATCGTCCGTGCCTTCTTCCGAGACTGTGCTCCCCGAGGCAGAGTTCAACGCAGCAGTTGCGGCCACGGCACCAGCTTGCAGCGACCTTGGGTCGCTGCGAGCACACAGGGCGGCATTGTCGGCCGACTGCGTTGTGCCGTGCGTCGCAGCTGCGGTGCGCTCGCTAATCCATGCATCGAGGCGGGTGGAGATTAACTCCCAACGCCCGCTCTCCCAATGCTCCACCGGGCGAGATTCATGCTGGGCCATGGCCAAGGTGCGCGGCATGTTCAGCCAGTGCATGCACTGGAGAT